ACGGCCGTACCTATAATATTGATTTTAGACCCGGCCCTACTAATTATTAATACTTTAACAGGGGTAGAAGTAAATTAATAATTAACTTTAAAAATTCCTAATATAAGGTCTAATAGTATTAGTATTATTTAATTAGGGCTAGTAATTTTACTAACTAATATTAACTTTAGTAGTACTAGGGCTACTTTAATAAGGGTAGTAGCTTTATTCCTTAGGGCTAATCGAAGAATTAGTATTAATAGAAGAGTAGGAGTAGTCCTATTATAAATAGCCGTAATTAAAATTCGGTTAATAAGAATTTTCGGGGTTACTAATTAGTTTTTAGTAAGGTTAATAAATAAATAGCGGCCCTTATAGACGAAATTAGTAAAATATATTCTATATTAATCGTAATCGATCTTAGACTTATAGTATTATATTTACAGGAAATTTAGAATAATTAGGTATTTCTTCGAAATATTATAGATTAGGAAGGTAATTATTTTATTATAGTGTTTAATATAGAGTTTAATTATTATTCCTTTAAAAATAATACTTTTAATAATTTTATTAGTAAGAATAAATTTCTTTATATAGCGGAGGCGGAAATAGGGAAGGTTATATTTAATAATGAAAGAGCGATTGATAAAAATAAATATAGAGTAGCCGGTATTAATAAGGGAAATATAATAATCTTTATATAATTTAATTATAATATAAAATAATAAGAATATTAAATTTAAAGAAGTAGAACTATTTAATAATTATATCCTAACCTCCTCTAAACCTTTTAATTTTGAAGAACCTAAAATTTATTTTTATAATAATAATCGGAAGGGCTTTTATATACAATTAGGTATAGAAGTTAAATATTTTTTAATTCGTTATAATATTTACTATTAGCAATAGCGGCGGCGGGGGCTACAACGGAAGCGGTAGGGGCGGTAATAAGTACAACCTTAATATTATAGACCTCCTCTCTATTATAGCGGCCTTTACTACAGTCCTTACTTTTATTTTTCTTACTTTTATTATATTAGGGGCTTTAAACGCTATAATTAATAAAAGTAAGGTAATTATTAATAATATAACTATCGCCGCTATAACGGCAATATTTACCATTATAAATATATTAATTAAAAACGTCTTTATAAATAAAAATAGCGAGGTTAATAATATTAAAGTCTATTTTATTACTACCCTAACTAATTAGAACGTTATTAGTATTATAAAAATTAAAGGCGCCGTTCGTATTAATATTATTATTAAAATTTCTATTAATAGTAAGGGTATTATTATTGAAAAGACGAATATTTATTTTATAGCGGTAGTTAGCGTCCTTTAAATTATTTATAATAGTATAGTAAATTACGAACTACTTTTTAAAATTATTAACCTTAAGAAGGTCGTAATATATAAGAGTATCGCAGAGGCGCTTATTAATCTTATTACGTAGGTAGTAAACCTTTATAGAATTATCGAGGCCGTAAAGGTTTATTAAATTAGTAAATTCTAATTCAAATTCTATAAAAAATATATTCTTTATAAAGAATTCTTCGAAACGACGACTAACATCTATCTTTAAATTAATATTCTAAAAACAGGTAATTAAATATTCTATAAATTTAATACCGGTCTTTTAATACTAAAAATCTATATTTCCTCTATTCTAAATAATATTTAAATTATTTTAAATATTAAATAAAATTTCAGGACCTAACAATATAATAGTATAAATAATTTTAATATTTTTATTAATATAAAAGAAAGGGTTGTACTTTTATTAAAATAAAATATAAAAATACTATATTTTAAAGATTTCGTATTTATAGGTTATATTAATATTCTCCTTACCAGTAAAAATCGGCGGGTTCTCTATAGTCTACTTTAAAAATAATATTTTATTAATACTAATACTAATAATTTTATTAAAATTATTAAGTAGGGATTAAATATTGATATTATAAAATTTAAGGGCAGTATAATTTATATTAAAGTTATTATATTTCTTCTAGAGGTCGTTAAATTCAATTATTAAATTAAAATAATCGAAATTCTTTTAATCAAAATTATTTTAAGCTCTAATAACTACTTTACAAACGGTTTTTAATTTATCCTCGCTATATTTAAGGTTGATAGCAACGTTTTCGTATTGAATAAAATCGTTATAATAAAAGCGACTAAACGGGGCGATAATTAATCGGAAAACGGGGTCCTAAATAATAATATTAATTGCGTCGAAGTAAGTGCGAAGGATAATTTTCTTCTCTTTATTATTATTAATACCAATAAAAAGATCGTTAATTATTATTAAAGGAAGGAATTTAATAAACGTAATTTAATAAACAGTAATATTAATAGTATTAACGATTTTATTAAATACTTTATAAATATTATTTAAATTAAATAGTATATTTTTAGAAGGGGTACTAAGGTTAATAAAATTATTAATATTATTAACGGGAGAGAAGGACGCATAGTTACTACTTTTATTATAAAATATAAGAAAAGTAATTATACGAAGCAATCTCTTATTCCTTAAATAAAGAGTATTTACCCTTATTTATTAAATAAAGGGAACGAAATTATAATTACAATTATTGTAATTTATAATTATTAATATTTAGAGTATTAAATTCAGCAATTCAACGAACAAGGCGATTCCTATACGTACGCTAATTGAAAATTAATAGTACAATAAAAGAGAATAAGTTTACGCTATAAATATAATAATTAAAAGGTATAATTAATTATTACGGGTAAAGGGTAGGTAGTAGATGTGATTATGTGTAATTGTACGAAGGAGAAAGGAAGAGAAGTATAGCCGAGTATTTAGAAGGTTAGCCTTATAAAGGCAACCGCCGGCGGGTCTAATAGACCCGCGGTAGGCAGCGTTCTAACCAATCAACTGCCGGTAATAGTCGGCTTACCGGCGGTAATAACAGCGTACAACAGTTTTAAAAGCTGCTGTACGCTGGTACCAGGCACAAGGCACACAGGCTAACCCTGTGACACCCGTGTTACCCTATTATAGTTGTTGTAGATTCTTAGCGTTGTACTGAGTCTAATCGCACTTACCAATTAAGGTAGCGGTATCCATCCATATTGCTGGAACCAATTCCCCAAGGAAAGCACTTTCCAACAACCAACAACTCTTTGCGGGCCGACAATCCTTGTTGCTTTTGGTTTGGACTCTACTATAGCGCGCCAGGGGGGTTTTGGAAAATGATCACCTGTATGATTTTACACTTGTGAGATATGATAATTGTAAAATGATCCTACGATGATATTGGGTGTAAAATATAAGGATTCTATAATTCCACTAATACTATATAGATCAATTTTAAATGAATTATTTATTAAGCCCAAATATTTTTAAAATTGATAATTTTATCTAATTGATTATTTGCTAATTGTATTTAACTTAATATAAAAAGATGATCTTCTTATTTTAATTATCTTATCTTCCAAAATGATTTTGAAATAGGGATTTATTTTTTTACTATTTATTAAATTTAATCAAAAAATCGAATAAAGATATATTTATTTATAATAAATAGGATTATTTTTCTCTTAAATTTAAATTTGTATATAATTATCTTCGAAGAATATAACTATTTTATACTAAATAATAAGTAGAAAAAAGGAAAAAGATATTTAAATACTATAAAACCCTAATAGTAGAGATTTATAATACCTAGTATTTTCTACTTTATTTTTTACAGTTAAGTTTTTTTTTTTTTTTTTATAAGACTTTAACTACTTAAAACTTTTTAAATGGAAAAAACTTGCCCTTAACTAAAATCGAACTAACGATCTTAGAAAAGATAGTAAGAATAAAAACCATTAAGCCACTAGGCTAAATAATTAAAAAAACATTTGAATTTCTTTACTTATATAAGTAAGTAGAAGTAAAATAATAATTGTAAAATTATCTATTAGTAATATAAAAATATAAGAATTATTTAAAATATTTAAAGTTTATTTATTAAGTAGGGCAAACTTAGATTATAACTGTAAAATTACACACTAAATATTTAAAAATAAGAAATTATTTAAAATATTCCAAATTAAAAATAATCCTCAATAATAAAATATCTTATACTTTAACTAAAACAAATGTTCTTTCTAAAATGAACTTCTTAGTAAAAGATTAATTTAATATAGAAATTAGACTTTGAAAGTTAAAAATTTTTTATACCTAGGAAATAGAATTTATACTAAATTTACCTATAGTATATAAGACTAATTGTGAAAAAAACCATAGTAGGAATAATTTTTACAATTATATTATTTTATAAAGAAGACCGCTACTATAAATATAATGATTTCATTTTTAAGAAGATACCGAGCATTATTTTACAATAAGAAAATAAAGCCTCTACGGGAAAACAATCCAATTACATCGAATTGATCCCGCGGATCATTTTTACAGATACCGTGTGCGCGCTATGGTACACATGCAACACATGCTACTTTCGTATCGGATCATATGTCTTCCATGTTAGGTACCCACTCTCGCGCCACTGTGCTAGTGCAGATAATGTGTAGCGAGAGGACCTAGCGAGCTGCATGTACATAGTAAGGTAGGCGATGTGGTGTTGGTTCCCCACCTTCCTATTTGATCCAAGCTCCTCGTTCCTGCTTCCGCCATTACATTGACAACCTGAACTGCATAATGATGTGCAAGGTGGAGAGACGGACCTTCCGCCAGTTCCCACCGTCTACAGTACATACCTACCTACCTAGTCGTAGATACCAGACAGGTACACAGTACGCTGCCCTGCAGTCCCGATCACACTGCTGCTGCATCTAGACGCCATCTCCCGAGCTGCCAGGTCCCATATGTCTCATGGGAGAGTCAGAGATAGGTACCTCTAGGTAGCAAGTAGGGTATGTACCTTAGATAGAGGTATCGTTGCAACCTGAAGCGGCACGGGACCAACCATGATTGCAATGGGCAGATCAAGTCCTGGAAGCCCGAGAGCTTTGCATGACCGGGCCGGCTTCCGCATCTTACTGTATTGTCAACACCATAGGGGGCTTAACGACCGAGGTAAATGTAATCGTATCGGCCAGTCGTCGGAATGGCCATGCTTCATTAAAACACAGAGTCTTGCCATGTCGACTTACTTCCAAATCAAAACCTTCCTCCATCTTACATCCCAATCACCAACTCTCAGAGCCGCCTGGCTGTTCCAGTCCAGTCCTCATCATGCCCGTCAAGTTTGCCATCAGCTCTAGCGCTCTGTCACTAGCGCTTTTGCTCTTTGGTCATGGCAATCCGTGCCTCGCCGCGACAACAGTTGACAATTCTTATATTTACTTGGACAATGCGGAATATCTTGTCGAATCCTCCAATCTCATCAAGATGTCCTGGTCCGCATTGGAGGCCGCCTTTGCCAGCCCCAACCGCTCGGACATTGCCACTTTCACCGGTCTGGACTGGACAAAGCCGTATCCCGGGACTCCAGTATCAGGCTTCACTGCCCATCTGCGGATAGCGGACGAGGTGCGTTTCCCGCCCGCCGTGACGGAAGAGAATGTTGTCACCAACGTGGCAGCTCTCAATTTCGGCATTCCGCCCTCCATGAGGAAGGCAAATGGCCTCCCCAAAAGCATGCATTCCTCGTGGTACATCTGTCAACACTACTACATCAGCACCCTGCCTGACCCGACGTCGGATATCGCGCACGATTGTTCCTTTCTGCCCAGCCAATGCCAGAAAGACCTGAAAGCCAGCTTGACTAAGAACTGGGGAGCATTCGAGAGCGAGCAGGGTGGCATGTGCGGCACATGGGCCTTTGACTTCATCACGGAAAGCTGCCAAGGCACGCTGGGAAGGCTCACATCAGATGTACTGGGTAAGCGCAATCTTCGAGTATGAGTGTGCATGGAGTGAGGATGATGTCTAATTCTTCACAGGTTGTCCTGCGTCCATTACCGAGGATGATGGCTCTGCTAGAGATTTCGCAGTTGATGAAGTGGGACCCTATGCGTGGATGGTTGGCACCAATTACAACGACCCGGGCAATCAAACATCGTATTATGCTGCATCCAACAGGACCTACATTTTTGCTACTGTTTTTGGGTACAACTCTGGATACACTGGTTCGGTCCAGCCGGTGGTCGAACTTGCTTGTCTTCGACCCCAGTGGACCGCACCACCAGAACCGCCAAAATCGACCCAGACCACTTCTTCTTCTTCTTCTTCTTTGTCGTCATCTTCTACTTCTTTTACCTCAACGGCGTCAGGCTCATCTTCAAAGACCTCAATGGCCTCGTCCGCCTCCGCTATCTCTGGGTCTAGTACGGCAATGTCTTCAACTGCTCTGGCCTCATCGTCGTCACTGACTTCAAGCAAGACTACTACTTCCACTGCACATGCATTGCCCTCCTCCACTATGCACTGCATAGGTATGTCATTACTGGCCACAGTTTCCCAGTTTCCCCGTGCATTCCTGTACACTGTCTCTATCTACAGGCAGGCAGCACCCCACAGCGAGAAAACCAAGCTAACTTTGTTGTTGTTTTTCCCCCATCAGGTGGTACCACGGCTGAAGGGGTCTCGGGCAATCTCATAGGACTTTGTTCCTACAGCTGTGATTACGACCACTGCCTCGACTCTGCTTGTATCTGCACCCAGTCCGCGGCGGCGGCAGTCGCGGCACCAACCCAATTGGCAGGCAAGCATGGGTGCCCGGCAGACAACCAGAGCCCTTCCAACTCGGACTATTCGTATTATGTGGATATGTGTGAGTTCATTTGCAGTCGGGGTTACTGTCCCGAAGGAGCGTGCAAGTATTGCTGAGCTAGGCTGGTATTGCCCCATGACTGGAGGGGAACCTATGTGGGTGCCTCTATGATGAGAAAATCGGACAGCTGGTACCTACGTACAACTATGTACATGTATCTTGCGTGAACGCTAGCGATTGGCAACTTGGAAAGAAAGATTGGAACATGAATGGCCGGTCGTTGATTCGATGCGCCCAGGGGAGGTACCTAGGTGGTATAGAGGTCACTACGTAGCTGTAGAGTAGGTCGGTAGCGAGGGGGTTGGATTAGCGACTTCGGAGCACGATGTACATGCCCATCAATGAGACTTCCACGTGCATGTTGTCAAAACAGCAAAGGGACGAAATTTGAACAGGGGCAGCCACACTGCAAGGCGGCCCGGGGACAGAACAGCGTCCCGTCGTTGTGCTGTTGGCCCGTTGAGGTGGGTCTTCCTCCAACGCCTGACCGGATCGACGCAGGGATTGCAGCGGCTAGGTACATGCACTACTGTGTAAGTTACCAGTACCTAGAGATAGGATCGGGTAGACAATAAAGATACAGGGGTAGAAGTAGTACCCACAAAGGTTCCTTACTAGTAGGTATGTACATACTACCTACCTATAACAGATAAGTTGGATGGGGAAGGAAAGCGATATGAATAGGCATTTGCTTGTCAAGGGAAGGACCGAATGTGCATCTGCGGCAGTTGCAACCGACCATTCTTCTGTATCATGTATTCAGATGTTTCCCTTCTTCCTGACGCGCGACTTGAAGGTACTACACTACAATCCACCAAACATTCGATCCCATGGGATGCTTAAGTTCGCCTTCCTGGTTTTTCTATGACACCCAATATGCTTGATAATGAGAACTCTGCCTGGACTTCGTCAAACCCAGTTATCTCTCCCTGACTCAAACATCAATCACCATTCTCAAGTGTGGCGTTTGTTTCCGCTTATCGGTTCTTGCTATCCTTATCACAATTTTGCGCCGGGTTTCCCAACTACGACGAGCGGCATTCAGTTCATGTTGCCCGTGTTCGGTTGTTCTTATTATCGTTCGGCGAGCCAAGCCCGTCTTGATTGAACCTCCCCTCATCGAAATGCCCATTTTCTCCCTCACCAAAAACACGCCAATGTCCATTTTCTCGAGATACATTGTCAAGTCTGTCCCACGAAAGGCCTACATCAGCTTCTTTTCGCGCCAGATGTCGTCGGCCTCTGATAACATTGCCTATCGCCCTTATACCCTTGACTTATTCGAAGGGTTGAGAAGGCCCCAACAACCTATCCCGGATGACCTTGAGTATCGCGTTGCATTACGCGGGGAGCGTCTGCCCAGCTGCTTCATACACATGCTCGACTATTGCACGATCCATGGCATACGACACAACGACGCATTTGCTAGATCTGAAGCAGTTGTGAAGCTTTGCGAGACCTCTGAGGACAAACGCTATGCCAGGGCACGCAATGCCCGACTTATCATGAGCAATGAGGTCCCGGATATGCCGACGGATGATGTTAAACCCTACTGTTTCTGGCACCCCGACACGGCCAATGAAGAGACATACCGACTTTTGGCAACGCGCTATCCCGACATGGCGTATCCTGTCGGTCGAGCATGTGCTGTGGCAGGATACGATGGACTGTATCATGAGCTTGACATCCTTCCCGAGGTCTCCATCGCCGAAGAAGCTAGAGAAAGCTCGGCGGCAAACGCGGGATCTAAGGCCATCTTTGATCACATCATGAAACAGCCAGTTTGCTACGCCGTTTTGGACGATTACACCAGGTCTGTCCACCACCAGAACCCACGGTCACCGGCCTTTATGAACGGAGATACCGCCGTCCGATCAACACTGGATGTGACAGTCACACCGAGGGATGTTCCAGACTGGTGTGATACCCGCCACTTTTTCGACATCGCCGAGGATTACCACGTTGCCGAGGTTACGACACACAGATCGTTCTTCGCATCACAGGGAACACTGCCTCCAGAGCACGTTGAACTGCTCTACTCACCTCTCCCCTCGCATCTGCCCACCATCATCAAGGATCCGTTGATCGTGATGGCGGCCTATGAGGGGAACCTAGACCGCTATATTCGCTTGCGTCGGCCCCATATGGTCGAGCAAGAGCATGGGGCCGTCCTTCGTGGCATATACCATAACACTACATTTGCCAAGTGGTGGTCACTCCAAGGGGATAAGTGCGAGTTCGATATCCGAGCGGCCACTCTCGCACGCTTCATCATGGTCAATGACTTGTCGCACATCACCGAAACAGATCCACATCCAGAAGATGACTCTGACGAGATTCCCGGAATGATATGGTGGCCCCTTATTCCTGCCGAGGAAACACTGAAAGCCCTCGCCAAACGTCGTCCGGATATGCACCTTCAGGTAGCCATGGCTTGCATTGCCGGCAACTACAAGGAGTTGTGGGACAAGTTGGCCCCTAAGCCATCCAGACAGCTGTATGAACAGGCTTCGCTATGTCACGATGCTAGCGTTCGCAACCACTTTGTCGACTATCTCGAGCGTCGCGCTTCTGAGCTAGGGTTAAATGTCAAGGCCCTTAAGGAGGTGAACAAAGTTCTTGCTCACGACTGGTGCTGGAATGCGGCGAGACTTGATAAGGAGCCCACTAGCTGCTGGTTGCCCAAAGAGATCAGCATAGTGGGTGAAACCGGCTATCCTGACACGGACAATGTCTACGGAAGTCCCGACCAGACCAACTTGGCCGGCGATTATCACTCCAACTGGGAACTCCACATCTGTTCATCCGAGGAAATGCGGGCCAAAATACCGGCATCGGAGTCTGGCATTTACCTCTATGATAATGATGATGAATAGGTAGGTAGGAATGGTCAAGCAGGCCGGGTTCACTCGTTAGACATTTCTGGGGTTAAAGTTGACTTTTCATTGATCGGAATGGAAAGGATTTGTGCAAGGGGCGGATGATGAGGATGTAGCTATGGCAGAGTTCCCTTGTGAGCACAGGTTCTTGGTGATGGTGGCGGTCATGCTTGTGTTTGGGAGGAGTCTACGATACATAAGAAAAGTATCAAATATATACGTAAAGACAATAAGAAGACCATCAAACCACTATACAAGGCTATATCCTGACAACGTGGTCCTCAAAACACACGCGCAAGGACAGCAACCAGGCGTGCATCACCGTCAACCCTGATACACTGGGGCTTTTTCATGTTTGAATGCGTGGTACATAGCTGGATCAATCCAATGGTGACTTGTTTGTTAGCTTCATGGTGTTCCTGGTATTCCTATAGACGAGATTCACCCCAAGCTGTCCAAAACCTTAGAAGCATGAAATGAATGGCTTGGTACGAGTCGGAAAACATAAGGTATGAATCTCCGAGATAGCATATTCAAGGTGCGCTGAGGATACCTACCTCTACCTAGGTACGCTTTGGTCATAGAGCAAGTCGCCTGGTTTAGGGGTAGATGAAAAGCACCTGGGGAACTTGACCTGAAGTCTTGAACGATGGACAAATAACCTCTAGTATGGGATTGTATGGCGTTGATACCTACCTATCTAGGAACAGATGGTAGGTATTGATGAGTGATGAATTACGAACTTAAGAGACGTCCTCCACGGCAAATAATGATGGGGACAAACTGTGACAAACGCCGAGGGAACTAACTGGCTCTCCCCGCTTGTCTCCACAGCGGCTAGACCCCATTCGTCTGATGTGCGTGCCTGGGCGCGCCCTTCCGCTGTGGAACGCATGCACACGCTAAGCCACAACAGGAAAAGTTTTGATCATTGTGCGTCGGTCCCGCGCTGACTGTGTCGCTCCTCTTTCCCGCGACGGGCCAGGAGCGCTAACAATCCCACAGCACATCAACTCACTCGACTGAATCTGGTTTTTCTTTTATTTTTTCCTTTTATTTCCTTTTGCAACCAGCCGGCCTGGAATCCCCGTACTTATAAAAGGTTGCGCACCATCTATTCACTTATTCCGTCGCATACCCACAGACAGCGTCAGCAGACAAGTAAATTGAATGAACCGCAGCCATGAAGATCACACAGGTATGTCCCTCTCTTCCCTTCCCTCGCTCCAGTCTCGCCGCGCTTATCGATGTCTCTCCCTTTCTCTCAAGCCCATGACCTTCACAACACCAGTTACAAGTATTCTCCATCCTCTTTTCCATGTCCACTGCCTCTCTATTCACACTCCACGCCAACAATACAACTCAACTCTCGTCAACACATGCACACATACATACTAACGCCTCTTCCTCTGTCCCTCAGCTCTACGTCTACCCCATAAAAGCCCTCCGCCCCATCCCCCTCCAACACGCCCAACTCACCCCCCAAGGCATCAAATATGATCGCACCTTTATGCTGTACCACGTCAAAACCAAACCGCAAGCCAACGATGGTAGCAGCTTCACCACGTCGACCGAGTTGAAGAAAATGCAACTCTCTTCCTACCCGCAATGCGCATTATTCGAACAGACCATCCTTTCACGCGATAACGGGCAGAAGGAAGTTCTCGTGAAATGGCACGCCCCGTCTCTACCCACCGAGGGTACAGGTCGTGAAAGTGGAGAGGAGCTGGGAAAAGAGCTAGAGCAGGCAGAGAGGGAACGGCTAAAGAGGCTGGAAACGGACACGATCACCGTTGAGCTTGATCCGCCGCCGAGAATCGACGAGTTGGAGAAGATGGAGGTTAATCTGCACGGGAGCCCGACGACGTGCTACAAGGTTGGAGAGGAGTACGACCGATGGTTTTTGGAGCGGTTTGGGTTTGAGGTTGTTTTTGTTTATCTTGGGGATGGGAAGAGGCAGATCTTGGGGACGAGTTTACTGCCACCAGCAACGTCCCAGCAACAGCAGCAACCACCCGGAGGAGGTGGAGGGGGATGGCTCTCCACACTAACAAGTCTAACCTCCTGGTTCCCCACCGTTCCGATCTCCATCCAAGCAGAACGCGAAGAAGACCGGAAGCCAAAGCCGTGGATCACATTTACCGATTGCGCCCCCTTGTTGATAACCTCGGAATCTTCCCTCTCTAACGTCTCCGCCCGCCTCGCTCCCGACATGGACTCTACTTCTTCCGAATCAACACCTCTGCAAGTCCCAATGTACAAAATGCGTCCTAACCTCGTCTTGGACGGTGAAGGGGAGGAGGCGTGGGCAGAAGATTACTGGGGTGAACTTGTCGTTACCTCGAGTTCCAATTGCTCGCCGACAAACGGCAACGCCAACGGCAAGACAAAGATAACAAAAACGAAACTTTACCTCACAGGCAATTGCGTCCGCTGCACCAGTCTAAACGTCGATTACGACACGGGCAAACCGGCCAAAGGGGAGATGGGGACTGTTCTCAAAAAGCTGATGAAGGATCGGAGAGTGGATTCGGGGATCAAGTGGAGTCCTGTGTTTGGGAGGTATGCATTCGTGGAGGAGAGTGTTGGCGATGGAGGGGATGAGCAAGAGCAAGAGGAAGAACGAGAAGAAAAGGAGCCGGGAGTATGGATCAGCGTGGGCGATGAGGTGCAGGTGACGAGGAGGAATGAGGAGAGGACGGTTATGGATTGGCCATTTTGAAATGCTCGCTTCTGTCAAAGACTTGGGGACATGGAGGCGCGGGACGAGATGCGGTGGGTGTTTCTTGAGGTATACACCAAACATGCATTTCGGCCGGGTAGTTTTGAAACCCGACCCAAAATTTCATCCAAACTCGTGCCATCCGAGACATCAACCACAACCACCGCTATAGCCCAAGACGCCTCAACAACAAATCCACCTCCCTCGCCACCATCTCTGGGTCGTCCTTTTGGATAAAATGCCCACAGCCCTTGGCAATCTTGACCGGCACCACATTCTTGTCACCATCACTCTCACTGTCGACCGCCGCCAGACGGGTCAACCCCTCGTTGTACCGCTGCCAGGCCGGGTTCATGTACCCGTTGATGACAGCTTTGGGGATGGACATTGGGCCCTGTAATTGGGGAGAGGGGGAAGTGGTGTGAGAAGAACTGTTTGGCAGGTAGGTAGAGGGTGGTAGTTTCACGTTGGACAATGGGAGGGGAATGGGAATGGGAATGGCGCAGGGAAGGAACAGACCTTTTCGTTATGCTCTGCAAAGACGTCCCAATCATGACCAATGACTATTACCCTTGGTATGGCAATCCGTTTCCTCGCCCCTTCCCTCGTTGTGCCTTGGTCCTGCTCATCCACAGGTAATCTAAGCCTCGGCTTGTCAGAGAACGGAAGTAGACCCCTCAACCCCCTCCGATCCAACCTCTCCGGATTTCCCACACTCGGATGGAACTTCTCTCTAAACTGCTTCCTTGTCCACCTCAACGCCTCCTCATCCACCCCTTCTCTCAAATCCTTGGCAGGATCAAACCCAGGCGCGTCCGGATCGGGAAACACGGAAACAAAGTCCGAGTTGGCCATCATCGAATCGAGAAAGAGATACCCGACTACCCGCACGTCAGGGAAGTAGCGACCATTGTAGAGCCGCGCGAGGGGGCAGCCAATGCTATTCGCCACTATCACCACGTCCAGCCCCTTCAGGTCCCGAGCCAGGAACTGGCGAGAGACGAGGAGCAGCATCTGGTGCAAGTCATCCACCACGTCCTCTGGTGTATGTCCATAAGGCGTGTCGTCCACGGCCGGATCGGGATCACTTGGATCGGGATCGGAGGCACCTTGGCCGAAGCGGTCGTAGGTGAGGATGTTGGGGATTTTCATGATTTCGGGTACATGTATCCCATCTTCATATGCACTATCTCCTGCCGCCGCCGTCGCAGACATGGATGTGTTGCCATGACTCCCGTTCTTTTCAGACACAGCACCGGTTTTGGATCCAGTATTGGAGGAGGAGGAGGAAGAAGAATAAGATGACGAAGTAGAAGACCGTCGTCGCTGCTTGTCGCGGATGCGCAAGAAGCGGGAGATGGCCTCAAACCACGAAGAGCGAGGGAGGATGAGGCCGTTGAGGAAGACGAGGAGGGTTGATGAGGGTGGTAAAGCTGCTGCGATGTCTGGTAAGGAGTCTGCAAAGTTCGACGTGGACATGGATGTCCCAGGGAAGAGGGCTGAAATGCGCAGACTGGCTGAGGGTTTGTGGGGGAGGGTGAGGGAAATGTCTTGCAGTTTCATTGGGCAGGTATGACTAGATGTGGGGGTAAAATGAAAGATACGAGTTGGATTGGAGTGTATTGAATATATACTCTAATGATGTAAGAGATGGATGTGATTGAATTGAACTGGCAAAGTGGTAAGAAATCGGAGTGAAATGACAGTGCACACGTGTTGATGTCGTGTTAAAGGTGGATGACGCTGTTTGGGGAAATGCGGGGCTTGGAGATCACGACTACCCTCACATCGGTGATGTTGGATCCCCGTTCCCTGTTATTGGAAACGAACTGGTGGGACGGCCCGAGAACGGCAGTACGGGTACCTTAAATTTGATAGACAGGTGTTCCTTGTTCGTTACCAACACAACGGTGCTTTCAACCCGTCAAGAATTCGCCAAATGCCTATATACACCTCCAGCGACCCTTCCCCTATCAAACCAAGATCCAGGCCTTCGAAGCAAGCAAGATAGACAAAATCCAAATATCGAAAGTAAAGGGGGTATCCACAAAACCACGACCTCCCCAAAGCCCAGGCTACCTACCTACGTACACAAGCATGAACCATCAATACAATCCCTACTCCCTAGATCCCACCTGCAGAAACATCCAACCCAACCATGCCATCTAAGCATACCACCCACTCTGGGGATCTCCCAAGCACTCGCCCACGGTGCCCGTCCCAAACCCCCTCGCTCTTAGGGTGGCCACCATCTCCCCCACCAACCTCTCCACCGTCCACCGATGCACATCATGACTCAAGACAATCGCCGAGTCCGTCTGCGGATTACTTCCCAGCTCGTTATTGAACTTGTCCACTGACACCTGAATCCCCGCCTGACTATCATTCTCGTAATCCTTGGTATCCACATCAAAGTTGACAACATGCAACCCCATCCCCTCGAGATCCTCCAAACATCCATTTTCGCAAGTCGCATACGGCGGACGGATGTATCTCGGCTTGATGCCCACCACTCTTTGCAGCACATCCTCGAGTTTCGTGACTTGCTCGACGCGCTGCGCTGTTGTGGCCGTGGTCAAGTCCAAGTGGGACCAAGTGTGCGAAGCGATCTGGTGCCCCTCGCTGAGCATGCGACGGAGGATGGATGGGTAAGGGGTAGATTCGTCGTCGATGCCTGAGACCCAGTTGGCGCCGTTGACAAAGAAGGTGGCGCGGATGGGGGGCGAGTAGGAGGCTAGCGTGTCGAGGAGCTGGCTGGTGTAGATGTAGGGCCCGTCGTCAAAGGTGAGGGCGACGATGCCGGGAGTTGTGCAGTGGGTGATTACCTGGCCGGTGGGCACTGCTCGGTGAAGGAGGTACGATGAAGATGACGAGGACGAGGTGTCCTGGTTGGGATAGTGATTGTCAGGCCCGTTGTTGTTGTTAGGGTACAACTCCCGGGATGGAGGACTTCTATTGATCGTTAATTGTTATCAAACATAATAGTTGCAGTTTTGAGGACGACGGTCTTACACTAGCATTGGGATTGCACGTCCTTGGGCCACGAGAACCCCAACAGGCAGAAATGTTGACCAGCGCATCGTAGCTCTCTAAATCAATAATATCTCGTCCAGCCAATAGTCATTGGTGCCGATAGAAATCGGAATCGTAATCGAAGAGAGGAAGACCAAGTCGGTACACTCGAAGATTGTAGCAGAACGTAGCAAAAGACAGATACCTAATGAACAGGACTCATACCAGAAAAGGAAGCCGGACTTCATCTTGAACGGACACAGAAACCGACCGGGACTTATATACAATACATCGACTACAGTCTCCTCGCGAGAAGGCAAGCAGGTCTACGACAGTGTTGCTCTGCCACTTCAACTTGCCAGAACAGGCAGTCCGAGCGGCGAGACCAATCTCACAAGCCCACTTCAGATGATCGTCCAGAATGATGCCCAAAGCGCCTGTCAGAGCTGACATCTAGCGCCCCTTTTTTCGTATTTCTCAAATGTGCTCGGACGTGTGCTTGGTGGGTGTGATTTGAACGTCAGAGGCTCTCATCCCTTGCGGTCCGTCTCAGACCGGTTGAGCATCCCTCTCAGCCTTGTGGTCTGGGGTACCACCCCTCGATACCACGAGACGCTGTGTCAACAAAGGGGAATGGATTTGCATTGCAGCGCTCATCCTCCTGGGCTTGCATATACGGTCCAACGATATCTGACATGGTGGACCGGGAAGACACGCCAATGGTCGACGTGTACGGGTTATATTGAAGAAGTTTGTAGAACGTGCATGTGTCACCCCGCCGCCTCAGGTCAGACTACCATCAAGCAGTGAATAGGTGGGGGGTTGATAGGCAAATAATGCAGAGCAATGTACGCTTGAAGGGGATATATGAAAATCTTAGCGCCCGAACCTGTTGTGTTGCTGCATTATCATCGCCCTTTTCTGTGGTCGTCTACAATCACCGAAAGAAAGCGGACTCTGTCCAACCACTTACAAGACTTTGTGGCGTCTGCCTCGTGGTATAGAATGCTGACTGGTTCACACGTATGAACCGTTTGCGTAACGCGACACTGGCGCCACCAGTCCTCGCATCTCCCTCTGCCGAACCCGTTTGCTTGGCCTCGAGAACACCCTCCCCCCTCGAATCACGCCCGGTTCTTCCGTGCTGACCACCAGGCCACCTCACTTGATGTCATAACCTTTGACTTTAAGGTATGTGCCTGCAACCGCCAGGCTGAGGACAGCCCAAGGAAGCTGGAGTTCAATGACGGACCACACCCACAAGCAACCCACGGGTGGCGCTTGCTTCATGACGGCCAGGTATCCGTACGTGTTTGTGATGTGGATCAGGTAGCATCCCGAGCACACGCTCATGACAAAGAAGATGACCTGTCGGAGGTGGTTTTGGTAGCGGGCAGGTAGGCCAGGAAGGATGGTCGGGTTCGAGGAGTGGGCGTGGAGAGTGTAGACGAGGAAGCCGAAGACTGGGCAGGAAGACGTCAGTAGGTGATATCGTGGGTGGGTGGGCTCGTATCGACATACCCAACAAGGCTTGGATTGCCCTCGTCCAGACCTTGGGCCAGACGATGCGATCGGCGGAATATTGGTTCTGGACAAAGACGTCCAAGGTGAAGTGCAGCATGGCCAAGCTCACGGTGTAGAGGGTGGTGTCGAGGAAGCGCTCGGCTCCGGGAGACAGTGGTTCGTCGTCATCGTCGTCGTCTTTCTTGCTTTTCGTCTTTTCCGGCTTCTTTATGGGGATCTTTTTGATCTTGGGGGGATTCTTTGCCTTGTCGTTTTCCTCCTGCTTCTTGCGCGCCTGGTCAAAGAGCCCCCTTTCCTCGGCCAGCTCCAGCAGGGTCTTTTCCTTGGGTCCACTGCGGTCGGGTTGCTGGAATTTGAGATTGGACGGAGACTCGGCGCGTTTTCTGCCCATTGTAGTGTTTGGGACTGGCAATATGATGAACTTGAGAATGTTTTGTTGTGCGACGACACGGAGGGAAAGCAATGGAAGTGAGATACTGTACTAGTTGATGACGGAAGACGCGAGGATGACGGTTAGGTAATGATGCCCCTGGAGCTTCAGTGGGTCGGCCGCTACGTAGCTACCTACCTAATCTACCTAGTCGAATAGCTCCCGCAATTGTCCCACTTGTACGATAAGAACGAAGCCCCGATAAGGCCAAGGTAGGTTTCAACTACAACGAACAGGAACTGAACAATCATCTTGGTGTACCTCTACCTACCTCTACTGTTGTGACTCCAGTTCAAGATTGTCAACTTCTAGGCTATCATCAATTTTCCAAGTATTCTCCGAGTGTCCAGGTCTGTGATTGGTGTGGATTGGAGGAAGAAAAGGAAGGCAATCAGAAGTAGGATACTTGCCGAGCTTCCATTTCTTGTTTGTTCGTCTTTCTACAACCTCATCAACCACGCGCTTCCCCGCATCCCCATGAACACCCGTGTTCAAGGATAAGGGGGAATTCCCGTCTTAGAGGTATGATTCCATGTTCTTTCCCTTGCATGCAAGTATGTAGGTAGTCGTGACTCCAGCCAACCGGCCTCGTGTGAGACATTCCATCCCTCCTTACTTAGTCCGTCGTCTTCGTCCCACCTCCCGTCGGCCCTTGCCGTTCCGTACGATGGGTATCGAGCTCCCGCATGTTTCCATCCGACCTCAGATGGCGGGGATTTCCAATCTTAAACCTCCCGTCGAGTTTATTCCCCGCCTTCAGTTCTTGTCCTTGTTAAATCCGTCAAAGTTGTGCTGGAGAACAGTACGAGGCACCTGATAGTATCCATTGTGTGTACATAACTGACGCTATAGAAAGCCTCCGCTCCCCCACAATCCGCCGGGCCCGGGCCCGCCATCTCCCAAGTGGAAGCGGGCCCGACCTCGATAAAATATGGAAACATATCCCTGCTTGCCTCACATCCACACCACGATAGCGCCCAAGCTTCAGGGGATCACCCGCTGCCACCACTCACCACCGCGTCCCCTCATGACGCTGCTACGACCCCAACTTCTTCCGGCCATCATCCGAGTCCAACCAAGTCCCGGTCGCCAACAACAGCCCGCGCCGCCATGAACTGGCTAACAGTCCTCAGCTTGGCCGCCGTGGTGATCCCCTCGCTCTACATCTACACCGTCTCTATCGTCGCCACACGTTTCCCCGTCCTGCGCAACAAGCGCATATGCCTGCTAATTGCCCACCCGGACGATGAGGCCATGTTCTTTGCGCCGACCGTGCTGGCGCTCACGAGGCCCGAGACAGGTAACCATGTCAAGATTCTGTGTTTGAGTAGCGGTCAGTGCTCCTATTCCGTCCATCCAACCTTTGCCCATCTTTCTCTGCCTTCCCACCAACAATTGCTAACCAGCTCCGAACAACAGGCGATGCCGAAGGCCTCGGTCCCACGCGCAAGCGCGAACTTGCCAAATCCGGCACTTACCTCGGCCTCCGCTCCCCCTCCGACGTCTTTGTGATCGACTCGCCCTTCTTCCCCGATAGCATGACTACATCCTGGGACCCCGAGCGCATTTCCCACTTGCTAGCCTCGGCTTTCGCTCCCGAACTCAAAGAGACCACCAACATCGCTTCCGCCAGCGCCTCGCGATCGTCCAAGAACAAGAGAGGTGCTGGAAAGGCGGAAGTGAAGCCCACAATCGACACCATCATCACTTTCGACAAGCACGGAATCTCGGGACATCCGAATCACATTTCCCTCTACCACGGCGCTAGGTTGTTTGTGAGTCAGCTGTTGGCTGCTACGGCCGGGAAGAACAAGGAAAAAGGGCAGGGGCAGGTGGATCTTTACACACTTCCCACGCTCTCTCTGCCGCGCAAATACAGCGGGATCCTGGACGCCCTTCCTACACTGTTGGAATGGGCATGGTCAGCGGGCATCACGAAAAAGGATAAACATGAAAGGCCGGGCGGCTTGGTGTTTATGAACAACCTTATTCCTGGCGAGGGGTGGGCGAGTGTGGACAAGGCGTGGGCGGCCATGACCAAGGCACATGTGAGCCAGATGAGGTGGTTCAGGTATGGGTGGATTGGCCTGAGTAGGTATATGTATGTGAATAGTTTGTTCAGGGAGGTCGTTCAGCCAGCTACGGCCGACAACTGAGATTCCTCAATGAGTGATGGGGATAAATGAGGATTGCTTTTTGTTTTGGTTAGGACGGAAAGATCGGAAACGGCGGTTATAGCCGAAGAGACGAGTATAGTTAACAGGGGAGGGAGCTCCTATGGAAAGAAAACATTTTGGCGTCGGCAGTTTGGAAAAAACATGCGCTCTTCGGGTATCTATATTGTCAAAACACTTTTCCTCATCAAGTCGTAATCCCCCTCCAAATCCACCACAGCCAAGAGAAAATATCAATACTGCAACCAGTCCACGCGCCCTTGCTTTTCAGCCTCGGACACAACCGGTCCCACCTCAAACCCACCTACGTCAACAACCTCAACACCATCTCTGCCCTCTTTCTCTCCATCCTCTTCCCCTCTTCTTCGATACTCTTGCCCCTCCGTCTTACCTCGCCCATCACACCTTGCTCCATTTGCCCCTGTCCTTCTTCCCTCTCCGTCCGTGTCATCTCATCCACCCCCAGTATCTCCTCCACCATCTGCTCCAAACCCTCCCTCTTCGCCGCCCTCGGCCTCAACGTCTCCACCGTCTCGCCCGCCGCCCTCTGCAACTCCTCCGCCTTGAGAAGGTCCAAACTCTGTTCTCTCAGTCTATTGAACCCCCTCGCAGTTTCCGGCCTCAAATCCATACTCACCACCGCCGCCTTGCGGACTTCGGTCCACCTCTTTTCCGCTCTGAACCCTTGCGGCGCTCCCACCCCGCGCTTAAAACGCACTACGCCCGTGGGAATCTCGTAGTGGATCGTATCGGGCAAGAGGCCTGGAAAGGCGTGGATGAGTTGCGGGATCAGACGGGTGGAGATGTCGTGGGAGGGGAAGATCTTGACCTTGGCCGTGGGTTTGTTGGGACCGGGGAGGTGGACGGGGGATTTAATGCGCTTGAAGAGGAGGGAGAACCACTTGGCAAAGGTGTGGACGATGTAATCCTTCCGGAGCAGGGTTTTCTCCCAGAGGAGGGTGGCGTGCGCTGGGGAGTGGCTGAAGGCTGCTCGGTCGAGAGCGTGTAAGGGGTAGAGGGATTGTAGCTCTTCCACTTGCTTGCGGTAGAGAGGTTCGAGGTCGAGCATGATTTGTATGGCGCGCTCGATCTTGTTGTTTTTGATCAGCCATTCGACGTAGATTTTGTATTGCGGGAAGCCGGGTGTGGCGTTGTAAGGAGGGGAGGTCATAGTGTCCCAGATTAGTTGAACTGCGTTGCGGTGTAGTCGGCGGCCGGGGATCGAAACGATCTTCCACTCTTTTGCTGCCCGGGGAGAGGTGTGAATGTAGGCCCATTCTAACAGTTCGAACCAGACTGATGGGGGAATCGGAAGGCGGTACACGGCAGAAACGTGGTCGAGCATCTTGCACGCCATGGCTATCATGCCGTTCGACCCATAACAGGTGGCGATTGTCTGTAAAAGACGGGTGGTAGGAGCCATGGGTGAGCCAGGCAGAAAGTCTCGCCGCCCGCCGGTGATCTTCAAGTCGCCGGTTTCGATGGAGCCAGAGACATCAATCTTGTAGTTAAAGTATAGAACGGACTGTACGTCTTCCATTACCCCTGTCCTGGCGTAGGCGATGAGAGCAGCGCAGACGAACTCTTCTGACAGTAAATGTAACCGGTTTCGCGCGGTGCCAAAGACGAGATCGACGGGTGAAGTCCGCCGTAACATCCTCATCAGGTAATCCACCTTGTGCTCTGCGCCAGGATTCTGCCCAAACCTGTCCAGCCGCTTGTTGGTCTCGTCAAAATTCATCTGTCGCAGCTGAGACAAGTTATCAGGCGTGAAGTACGGCAGAAACCGCTTCTCGGGAAACAGGTTTACAGGCTTGACGCGGAAGTCATGCCGATTGTGTTGGGTGTACAACGGTTCCGTCAAGAACCGGGCCTTGAGAAATTCGGTATACAGGTCCGTCTGGCGCTCCCACATCTTTTCAGAGACGTTCATGTGGAACCAGATCTTGCGAGCCAAGAGGGGGTCCGAAATCGATCCGGCGCATCGCAGCAGGACTTTGTAGTCGGACAAGAGAAGGGGAGAACCCGAGCGGAATCGACGAAAGGCAGCTTCGTGAACTAGGGGGTAAATGTCGGTGTTTCTTTTTCTGACGCCGAAATTATTGATCAGAGCCCCCAAAGGGGACCAATTGGCCATGGCTGGGTCGACCCATATGTCTCCTAACGGATCTTGGTCTTTGTGAATGGCTTCGACGGGGTCGACGGAGCGGAGAAGTTCGCTGAAAGCTGTTGGGGGAAGTTGAAGGATTTCAAGTTTGTTCTCCTTGAAATAAGAGAGCATTTTGTGGGGTTGTCTGAAGGCCCCGGTGAAGCCGTCTATCCAGGGCGACCGTTTTGTCGGAGATGGTTTTGCGACGACGGGTCTTGCGAGAAGGGTTCGGAGGAGGAGGAGCTCGTCTTGCTCGAGGGGCTGTCGAGGTCCGTCAAGTTGGTGACCGAATCCATGGTGGGCAAAGTTGCCTGGGTAGGGAATTGCTGAGATGGGTTTTGCTGTTTGGGTCGTAGAATGGGGGAGCTTCTGGAGCTTGTTGATGGCGGAGGTTCGTCGTCGAGATTCCGGAGAAGGAACTCGAACCCCACGACAGGAGAGAAGGGCAGCCATTGGTTTGCGGATTGGGGTTGACGGCGTTATATACCACCCCCATTGGCGTCTTTCGTCCGCAATTCACTTGACGCTCGGCCGTGTTGTTGAAGGGAAGCTGAGTGCCCCTGGTGGGTGTAAGTCGAGGTGTAAGTCAACCCCGCTAACTAAAAGAGGAGAAGTGCGATGGATCTCGCGATGCCCGCCTTTGCAAATCCGGGGAAGGCCTGCTGTCACTTTGGGCGCCTGTTCCTGCCAAGACTTTGCCCAGTCGAAGCTCTGGCATAAGCGTTTAAGAACCAGCCAAGATTTCACTGAGGAAGCGGTCAGTGCGTCGGGTTGCTTCAGTTGCTCTTGGCATGCGACCAGCTGGCACTGACCTCAATTCGTAACGAAGCGAGCGCTTCCAATCGGGCAGGCATGGAAACCCCCCCCCCGCCGTCCGTCACTGGCACTGGACTCATCATCGTTCTAGGGCGCTGCAGCTGAGGTCCCCGCCATCAACAACAGGAACACAACAACAACTTCATATTTTTCTTCTCTCTCTTCACTCGTTATTCATTTTTGGCTCTTTTGATATCACACATCACACAAAATGGCCGACGTAGTAGAAGATGCCGGCTCCGTTTCCGAGCCCATGGACCTCGTCCGCCTTTTGCTTGATGAGGTTGTCTGCGTCAAGCTGAGAGGTGATAGGGAGCTCAAGGGCCGTCTGCACGTAAGTCCACTCTTTATGTTTACATGTCCCCTTTTCAGTCGTCACCTCGTTCCCGTGACCCCTCACTCACCACCACCCGAACTCATTGCTAACTCCTCGGATACTGTGACGTAGGCCTACGACTCCCATTGCAACCTTGTCCTCGGGGAAGTCGAAGAGACCATTTACGTCGTGGATGATGAAGATACCGAGGAGGATGACCTGAAGGTATGCCATCTCATCACTTACCCACCGCCACTCTCTCGTCAACCCACCTCTCACCCCTTTCCCGTTATACTCACCCTCCTTTCCCTTTCCTTCTCATACCACTTTGTTCTTTTTATGCTCTTCCCTTCCCGTTACTCTCATATACTAACAAAAGACAGACCATCTCCCGCAAGTCCGAAATGCTCTTCGTTCGCGGCGACTCTGTCGTGCTCATCTCGCCCTTTACCCGTTCTTGAGAAGAGGCCGTGTATGTGGAGCGGCCAGTTGACGAGCACGATTTCCGCCACCGCTACGGCATCAAGCCCTTCTCCGGTGGCCCGCTTGGCCAGGACCGGTTGCCCATCGGCAGGTGGAACTTGGCGCACGTGGCGGATGAGGCGCAGTTTTGGGAAGGGGTAGATAGGGAAGAGGAGGAGCATTCGGAAGGGAAGGGAAAGGGAAAGGCAACGGCGGAGGGTTCTGGACAGTCAGCAGCCGAGGGTTTGTCTCAGTGGGAGTTGGACATGGGTCGTCGTTAGCCTACCTAGGTGGTGGCTTCCTCCAGGTCAAGAGGGGCGTCGCTTACAAAGGAAACCGCTAACCATGCTTCGGGAGGAGGATAAGAGAGGAAAACGAGGAGAGAGGTTGGCTTTAGATGTGACTATCACCGTCATCACATCATGTCCATCGTTTGTCGTTGGACCCGAAAGATAGATCACGGCACAGATATACCATTGTTATTCCCGGCCATGGAGCATTGATAGCCAGGCAATCTGCTTCCTTTTGAGGAGGCTGAAAAGGATCGCTCGTACAAAGAATACAGTACGTTGCTTAAGAATTTTCATAAGTTCATTTAAGAATACCCGTAGGTCACTCATCTTCCACCAAGACACATACAAGAGCCACGTGGTCCATACTTCTACTACTTAAATATCTGCAGATGGTGAGTCACTACTAGTTCTGTACTGTGCCCTGACTGCGCCGCTCCGTATATGAGCCATCAAAACAATGAGCTGAGGCCATGCATCAAAGAAAGTATAACAAAAAAGATAACGCGACCCCCAACTTGGGTCACCACAACATCATCTGCCCAACGCCAAACCAGCACTAGGCGCCAGGTCACTAAGCACCAACCTTCACCTCGTTACCGCCACCCTCATGTTTGACATCTTCAACGCCCGCAACCACCTTATCACCCCCTTCACCGACATTAACCCCGCCCAACGGCCGTTCGGGATCATACCCTACACTCTTGACGATACCCAACCCCTTGGTTCTGCCTTCTCTGAAGAGGAGTCTGTCTCCCGGGACTAGATATTCGGGTCTTTGGACAAACCGGAACGCGACGGTAGCCCGATCGCCGGTTCTGATAAACGGACGATCAACGTCGATGATGGCGCATGTCTGGGAGACAGGGCCGACATGAAGCATGGCCTGGTATTTGGTTTTGATGGTGGTTGCGTGGGAGAGGATGAGGACTATTGCACGTTAGGATACATACAGAATTTTTGAATGGCACCAAGGGGCAGAGAAAAGTGAAGACAAAAGGAAGCGGCGTGTTTACCTTCAGCAATGAACTCCCGATACACCTTCGGCGGTCCACTTTCAGTCTTGGAGAGCACCACCATTCCCTTACGAACGTCCTTTCTCTTGACCCTCTTCAACGCGAAGCTGGCCGACTGGCCCGCGCTCGCCGCCGGGACGCCTATCCTCTTCCGCTCAATCGACCTGATCGCCGTGGTCGTGAACTTGCCCAAGCCATCCGGCCCCAGGTAAACCTCATCACCCGCATGGATGACCCCCGACTTGACGATTCCCGAGACGACCGTGCCGACGTGGGGGACGCTAAAAGTGTCATTGACATGGAACTCGAAAGGCGCGTCGGCGTCGTACCGTCCATGGTGCGGCAAGATGTTGAGGAACGAACGGACCAAGCTCAAGTTCTCGCCTGTTACGTTGCTGACCTGGAAGATGGGGCAGATGCGCTGGGAGACGAACTGAGTGGCCGTGTTGATGCATTCCTCATGGTTCTTGATGAAAATGGGGATCTTCCTCGCACCAGGAGACTTCAAGATGCGGGTGATCTGGGTGATGGTCTGTTCCAGGATGTTGGGCGGGCAGATGTCGATCTTGGTAATGACCACCATTATTGGCACGTTCAGCGCCAAAGCAATACCAAGATGCTCTTTGGACATGCCTATTAGCCCGTTGTTGGCTGCTACCATTAGCAGGCAGTAATTTGGCGACGATGACAACAAGCCGAAGACGGTCGTCCTAAGATACCGTTCATGCCCAGCAAGGTCGGTAAAAGTGATTACTTTCGCACTGCGCTTGCCTATTTCCTCCCACGAGAGCTTGCGACCGGGGGTGTCGGAAAGAATGGTCTGACCGTGCGAGTCGAAGCCCATGATTTCCATGCCGACGGAAGACGTACGACCGGTCTCAATCTCGTGCTTGTGTCGGAAAAGATTCACGCGTGCGCGACCGCGACCGTCGTCCAAGTCGCCCTTGACCAGAACACCCAGCATCGAGGATTTGCCAGCGTCGACATTGCCCACGACTGCTATTCGCGTTTCGATAACATCCTCGGCTGCGGACGGGCGTCGACGGATCATCACCTTGCCGCTCACGTCGCCATCGCGGGTTGGGGCACCGTCGAGATCGCCGCCCAAGTTCTTGGTTAAGAGCAGCTGGCAGTCGGCATCAATCTGGGCTGCGGCCTGCGATAACCTCTTGTATGCCACCTCCCAATCCTCCTTGGTCAACTTTAAGCTCTCGCCATGGTTCTCGAAGCCGATGTCGAAGACGGATTCGCCGTGTCCTTCGTCCAACCGCTCACCAACGATGTCGGCGAGTTTCTGGAGGGAGGCGTCATCGTCAGGGGCGGACAGCAGAAGGTCGCGAAGTCTTATTCGCGGACCGGGCTCGGAGAGGTTGAGGCTGTCGAGGATGTCGTCGAGCTCAGCATGATGTTCGACTTCGGGGGCGATTTTTGAGGATAATGTTGAATTTGGGCCTGTCGCTGCTAATGCTGTCGCAGTCTGGCTCTGGGCAGCCTTGTTCGGGTAGCGCAATGCCTGCTGTCTCTCGACGTACTCGGCAAAGTCGCTAAGGGCAGCTTCGCCTTTTCGTCGTTCGTGCGGTGCCTGTTTTGATGCCATGGCTGCGGTCGGGAGGTGAGCGATAAGAAGGGTCAGGAGCCAGGTGTTTAAAAGATCACAAGTAAGCTATCTGGTATATCCTAGGAATCATTGGGCCGGAGACAGTTGGGAAGAAAGGTAGTAGGTATTCAAGCTGGTATTAATTTGCAGGGACGTGGGACACAGAGGTAGTAAACGGTAAGACGGTATTTTCGTCAGACAATGATAAGTAGGTAAGACAAGAGCTTCAAAGACACAAGTAGATGGAGTATATGCCAGATGCAAAACTAAACCTGATGCAAGAACAGAACGAATGGAGTATGGATAGGAGGTAGTAATGGCAAAGGCTGAAGAGTGTGCCTTCTTGTATGCCTTGAAGAAGAAGCGAAGTTTCGGTGATGTTCTTCTCGCCGTCTGAGTCGAACCCGAATGGAAGCCAAGGTCGGTATGTACTATGGCATCGATATGCGGGCGTCAGGGTACTGTAGCGGTCGAAGAGTCATCCAAATCAATTAATGCCCCTGCAGTGCTGTTGGAAGATGCACACAGCAGTCGCCTTACCCACAATCGATGACGGTGACTAACCGCAGCGGCGAATGGACTTCCCGCCATGCCAGCCGCTTATCGATAAGGTCCCCGCTTGGAGAGCTGGGGGGTGCCGGCTGGCAAAACCCGGCAAGACTGATCCACTGTTAAAAGAGAACGCCTCGGCTGGAGCCGGGCCTGGAGCTGCCTGGCCGTTGGTTTCTTGGTAAGGCATCCTTCGAACCTCCAATCGGCCGGCAGTTGCCGTTCAACATCACTGCAGTGCAAGACCCCAACTCTTGCTTGGGATGGCTTTATGCACCCCGGATTCGTGCGACGATAGCATCGCAGCGGCTCATTCTTCACTGAGTTTCATTGTTCGTACACATTTCTTCTCTTTTATCAGCTTTCTTTCTTGAATGAGGGAGAATGGATAATGGGAAGCAGCGGCACATGGATTTGGCATGGCCTCCAGAGGGAGTCACAGGCCGTTGAAGCTCTCACGCAGAGTTCCACTTAAAGCCGAAGAGCAACTGTCAAACTGGCAAGAGTCTCTTCGAGCTGACTACACCTAAGGTTATCTGCTCTCTGCTCCTACCCAGCCCCTCCGCGATGACTCTGGCAATGACCTCACTATAACGTCCATAACATCAGTCTTCCTCTATCCTTCTTTCCGCCCGGAGCTATCCCCACAATGAACCCCGCGAAACCGTGGGAGAAGCGGTCCGCATTGACACTGGCAACAGCAGACTGTCGAGGTCCGGGTCAGTACTCCTGTAGTGGCACTGCCACCGCCGGTCCCGGAACTGGGCGTTCCCGCTTCCAAAATCGTGAGATTGGGAAGCTCTGTGCTCAGTGCTCCCAGGCGCACGAACGGAAGACCAGATGCTAGGTAAGTAGAGAGGGAAGTACCTCTTAACTATTGTACCACCTCCCGACAATTAGTTCCGGTATATTACGGTTTGTGGGGAAAGTTCAGGTCTTGATGACGAAATGGCGGATGCTTGTCTGGTCTTGTTCGCCAAGTAATATTCTGAGAATGATTCTTGTGTGGGTGTATGTACGCGTGTCGTCGTCCAACAGTTCATGGAGAACAGGTCAAGTGAGCTCCGATTACGGTGGCATTATCTTTCGACCTCGGCCCCCGGTTCCACATCCGTCCACTCCAACCACTCCTCCACACTTCTCATCTCTTGGCTTGACATCCGACACAGGAGGCGAAGAGACTGCTGATGTTGATCGTGACATGGATGAAGTATTTGGTTGTCGGGCTCTTGAGTCACACCACCTATTGGCATCGTGATATCCTGGCGTCAAGCATGGGCTTGATATGCAGGACGTTGACCTTGTGCGTTGGCACTCACAGCACCGATACCATGTCCAGGTTAGGTCGCTTACAGGGAGAATCGAACAGGCACACTGCTGTAATAGAGTTTACATTTCTTCACTTTATGTTGACACTCTATAGTAGTACATGGTTTCATATGCTTCATGCTTTGTATCAAAGCTACTCCAATGCTCTTCATAGCCACTCGCGGGCAGCCCATTCAATTCATTTTGATCCCCGCTCTAAACGCCAGTAAATATGCCGCTGTGTTGAAGACAGCAATGCTGATAATGAATACTACACACAAAAGTTAAACCCCAAAGAACTTTTTGACTTCCTATCCAGGCCCCAAATTTTCTTCACATCCTCCCTCGTCTAATACCCAAAAGAAGAAAAAGAAAAGACAAGAAGTAAATAAAACATGCTAAACCGAAACTTCCTGCCAGTTGCCAACCCGGTGAGTGCGTAATGTCACCTCCGCAACCTTCTCTAACCGGTGCCTGTGCAAGGGGGGGTATAATGTTGAAACCACATATAAACAAAAGAAAAGGAAAAAAAAAAAAAAAAAGGAAAAAAAAAAAAGAAGAAGAAGAAGAAGAAGAAGAAGAAGAAGAAGCACAGTCATGCGAAAGAATCGCTCGAGGCCGAAGCGGGCACCCGCCCACAGTCCAGACTCGCAAAAGTCGTAAACCAACAGCCCAAAAACCAATCAAACCCCACCTCAACTCTCACTTCAATCTGCACCCTGAACTTGCCCTTGCCCTTTCGGTGATTACCCAACCAGCGGCCAAAAGGCTTTTGCATCAGGGCTCTTCACCTCCTCTGCATCTCAGCCGATCCCCTCCTGCTAGACACGGCGCTCGACCTTCCACTTCCAGCTGCACTGCCCAGCCCGCTAGGCAACATAAGCGTGTCACTCTCCATCACCCCGTCCATCGACTCACCAGCCATCATCAGCTCCGAGTAGGCTGGCGGACTTTCGGGCACGTCCTGGTAAATGGGCGGCGCCTCGTTATCCCACGAGATGCCAATGCCTCCGCGCTCCGTAAGGATAGAAGAGAAGTGCATCCTGAGAATCCTGCCTACGCCGGTATGTGTAACCAAGTTGGGCTTGCCCACCGGCGCCCACTCCTGGCTGACCACCATCTCGACCATTAGCTGGTGTGACACCTCGTGCGACGTGGACGTGCCGGGCGCGGTCCATCGCGTGTCGCAGACTGCGGGGGAGGCATGGGATTTGGAGATGAAGTAGTCGAGTTCGAGCTCAATGTGCGAGTCTGTAGCCGAAGAGTAGGATGATTTCCAACCAGAGAAAATGGTCTTCTCGCCGATGATGCGGGTTTCGGTTCTCGGCAGGCCCTTTGGTTGCTGAGGCTGGCCATCACTGCCCTCTGCCGGGCTGGGCGGGACAGGAAGCTTGGGGGCGTGCTTCTCGCATGCTGGCGCCAGGGACTTGGAGATCTCCTCGAGCCTCCACGTCAACTTTTTGAGCTTCCAGTACTCCATCGTGCCGACCTTGGGGTTGAGCCTAGCGATCCCGTCCAGGCGGATCTGCAGCGTGTTGGTGCCCGTGGGGTGGATGTGGTGGGGGTAGTGCACGTTGGCCTTGATGTTGGTGGGAGGGAAGACGCGGATGCTGTGGTGAGGCACTTCAGAGGTGGCGAGGGATCGCTTGACGTCGAGGACCTTTTCGAGCTTGATGACTGGCTGCAAAGTGCCGTTAACCTTGGTCAGGGCCTCGGCCTTGAACTCGTAGGCGATGGAGGCCAGAGGGCCGTCCATGCTGGCTGGTAGGTGACCGTCAAGCAAAACGGAAAAGGGGAAGGAGTGCTGCCCCTTGGCAAGGACGAGAGGGTGGTCGAGGAACTGCCATTTCTTGAGCTCGGTGTACTGGTGGGTGCAATCGTGGCAGTGGTGAGTGAAAGGTCGTTTTTGTGTGACGTGGATCTGCAGTGTGGCATTGATGGACTCGACGTCTAGCAGGTCGTGGTCGTCCTTGATGTTGAGAAAGATTTGGCCGGAGACGAGCGCGCCCGTGGATGATTCTGGGTCATTGTAGAGCACGATTGGAGGCGACTCGAGTTTCCAGTCGAGAGAGGCGGGTGTGTTGGCGTGCACATCTTTGCTGGAACGGCCGAAGTGCATGCCCGGGAAGGATATCCTGTGGTGGTGATGGTCCTTTTCTTTGTGGTGATGGTGGTGGTAGTGGTGGTGGTGGTCCTTGGCGCTAACGACCTCTTTGCTCGTGTTAGTGCTAGACGCTGTGCTGGTGGTGTGTGCGCTATCCGAAGAATCGTTGGATCTTAGCAGAGGAGACATGGATCGTGGTGGCGTCGTGTTGCTGCTGTCTTCTTCTTCGCTCGAGGCAAATGCAACTCGCTCTGTGATTCCGTGGCCAACGCGAGCAGCGCCCGTCGGACTCTCGCGCCTTCGGGAAGTCTTGCCGGATTTTGTAAAGGTCGAGACCTGGAACTCCAGCGTGTTGGCCGACGACCTCAGGAAATCGACAACTCGGTGTGGCATGGTTGGTGTTGCTTACCCCTGCCGATGCGGGGGAAGGTGCGCTGTAAGTCGGGGCCTGTGTTGGGCGATGGGATTCGCTGCGAGAAGACACTCGAAGGGTCGGTCGGCTGATGTTGCGTCCCGCGAATGTTACCTTTTCCTTTGTTTCTTTCGATCGTCACAAGATCTGTCGAATCTTTTTAGGCCCAGTTGTGTGTGCCGTGGGTACGCCAGCCTTTCCCGATCCAGCTTGGTTTCGATGCACTTCGAGTCTCCAATGTCCACCAAAAACAAAAAAAAATTCCAGCAACGGTGCCCTGTTTTGTTGGCGTTGAGAGGGGTTCTGGAAAAACCTCCAGGGATCTGAATAATGCAATGACGTCGTTTCAATGTGGAAGGACGAAGTGTCTGTTCGTTTTGCTGGCCTTGACTGACCCGAGTAGCTGAGATTCGAGAAGTGTTCGTTGGGGGTGAGATATATGGTGTCTTTAAGAGCTGGAAGGTGAAATTGACGTAACACTAGAAAGTGTCCAAGTCAGTATGGCGCCACATGGAAATCCAATGACATACTCAGATCGAATGTCGAGGGAATCTCCGGTTGTACCAGATCAGCAATATAAGTAGAGTACGTACCTTGGGCAGAGACAGTTGTAAACACAAGATGAAGGGGTTGAATGCCAAATGAGACGATGGTGACTAAGGCAAAGGGGTATATAAGAGGAGAAGACCAAAATGATAACTGATCACAACAAGCAAGGCCAGGAACAAACGACATAGGGATCAAGAGGTTATAAAAGGTATGTGGATCCAGGGCAGTATTGGATGCTCCGTCAAGAGCATTTCCATCGAGTAATTATGTGTCATGTCACAAGGCCCACGAAAAGAACCACAAGGATCTGCCAGGATCTGGGCCCAACCACGGGCATGCTAACGCACAACAAGGCCGCCCTGTATTGTGGCTCCATTTTTCTCTTTGTTTCCTTCTTCCTCGGTCGCTTTCAGTGTGTTGTTGCCAAAGTCACTTGTACCTGCGGTACATGCCTCTCAACTACACTAGTACGGCAGTCTGGGCTCTCCGCGGCATCTGCTACCGGACGTCGGGACCCCACCGGAGCCATGGACCGTGTAGCGTAAGAACATGTATGTTACCATGAACGGTACCTCTACCATGTACTTTTCATCCAAGCTTCACCCGCAATTTGTCATGGCGCGGGGAGCTTTGACGAAAAGGAATTTGGAATGTGTTTCGGCAAAGGGCTGATTCATGCTCCCGCTATTCCCGTCTTCATATTAACCGGGGATTACAGTAAGCCGGGGCTTTTTGCAGGTGTCAAGGGCAGTTCAAACATCATATAAGCTACATGCATAGTACTGTAGAGTTCAAACTGTCCAAGGGACCAGCTGCTAAGTTACCATACCGTGACAGCAATGCGCTAACATGAAAAAAATGAAAATTTCACATGATGCCTTGGTTGTGGAGCAGCGACAGAGGTTGTTCATTCCCTTCAACAACTGAACCTCAATCTACAATGTGCGACTGACTCCGGCCCGCCATCCAGGTTTAGATGTACCTATCACGGCGACTTCCTTCCTCTGATTTCAGTCTGTCTTTCTCGCTACAATAGAGACTTTGGCAAGTACAAACTCCAGGGAGTCCTGACGAGTGCGACGCGGATCTGACCGGATCTGCTGTGCCCTTGGGTGATCTCCCTTAGAGGTACCTAGCACAAGATGAAGTAAAGGGGTTCTTCCTTGCTGGTTCATGTTCTTCAATTGAGCTGTGACCCTCTTGAAACTTACAAAAAGTAGTGTACACGTGTAAAACCCAACAATGACAGCAAGTCGTTGTTGCCCGACTGTTCAATTCTTCCTCCAGATTCACCCCCACCAACCAACCTAAGCCGCTGAAAGCCCTGGCGCGGATGCCCTGGAAAGTGGCGCTAACAGGTGGGTGGGCCTCTAAGTTCTTGCCTACAAAATTTGGGACTCGTAGGCTTACCCGCACATTCGTTTTCTGTAGAAGGAGTCCTTGACGTTAGCCCCAACTGAAAATTCAAGCACCGGAGACAGGCATTACGGTGGCACTCCGCTCAAGAATTTTCAGAACCTTGACGGCTGTACGGGCACGTACTCAGGTATCAGGTATGTAGGTAGGTAGTAGAGGTATCGCCTGCCTTGTTAGGTCGGGCAGCCAACGGCTTTCGATTTTTGACAAATTCCACAAATCCAGTCTCAATGGATCTTCCATCAGGTAACATTTAGGTACATAGAGATACGTACCCCCATGGAAATTCAGTGCTCTCGAGTTGTGTTTCGACCGAAAGACGCGACAATGACTTTATGGAGATCCTACCGCCGGCCAAGACCGATTCAGGGCCACCAGGCACCGCACATGGGCCTCACTCAGGTCAATGCAATAGTGGACGCGGCGGGGGAGATCTGGCACACAAACCAACCAAGATGCTGGACTGCAGCACCCCCTTTTCTTTTCCTTGAGGTTATTCGTTACGTGTTTCCATTCCCGCCCTGCCCGCTTTCCGTCCGGTGCTTCCATTACGTACCTAAGGTTTCAGCAGGCTGAAATCCGGGGAAAAGCAGCTTCTTCCCGGTGCTTCACCCACCGAGGCCAAGACTGCCGGACCTGATGTCCTTGCTCAGTTGCGTACGGTACCTCTAACAAGGCTTGTGAACCATAACACTCAGATGGTTGTGGTATACCTCCAATGACCATACCTTGCCGGTTTTGTTACCAGTGTAATTGTTGTTGTGGTTGTTTTTTTCTTTTATGCCTCTATTAAGGATATTCTCAGGGATCGCAATATCCACACTGACACCACCACTGCGGTCTACTTGCCCGACACTTCCATACGGCTGTCATTTCCCGTCACGAGCACCACGGGCACGGCATGATTGGCAGATGTCCGTCCTTGTCTATTTGGAAGATCGTTGTGCGTCCCGTACGTTTGAGCCGACGACATATACAGTGCCTTGGGTATTTCCATCGGTTGGCAAAAGCCTCAGGTCGCTGTCGTTCGCTTGCACGTGTTAGGAATGCCCCGAGATTCCCGAGCCCGAGCTGTCCGGATATTCCAGCGTCGATTCGCGCTCACCGCAGAAGGGAAGCCCTACGAACAGGAGATCTGCCACAACAGCCCTACAGGACGAGTAGGATCAGCGGATACAGTAGGAATTCACTTTCCGAAACTCTCGACTCGCGAGACAAAACTCTCCCACGGGGTTTACGTCGAGCCCCTGAAGGCCTGAACGCTGTCGCTGCCCAAAGAGGTTCCCGTGGGCCCTGGCTGCCACCGTAGGCCAAGGAGATCCACGAGATCCCTTTGCATCCGGTTCCTGTTTCGAAAACAGCGGGGATTTCACCGTATACACCGCAAACTCGCTCATCCTCTTACATGTAGGGTGGTGAAGTTCATTTTGGAAGACTTCTAGTACTGCAATATGAGAAGTGACAGAAATAGCAACACCCCGCCGAACCACATCAGATGGGTGGAACTGGGAAACGTAATGTGGTGAAGCATTAGGACGTCTGGCGATACACGTATTTTACAGATTCATTACAAAAACGGTATTTGTGCCCCAAGGCCCCCCCTCAACGAAAAAGCTAAAAGTTGACAAAGTGACAAAGCTGCAGTGCGTCCAATGTTGAGCCTCACAAAACCCAAAACGACATGTCCAGCGCATGCGGTGCATGCAGGCCGCTAATCTGTTACCTAATGGCCCGCCGTTTAGCACCCATGGCAGGCCAAACATATTGCGCCTTCAACGACCGTGGTGGTGTCACACGGCAAGTGACTCCTGGAAGCTTACTGAAAGCCAATGGTGATGATGACAAGAATGCCTGGCCTGTCGTGACTCCCACCTGGTCTTGATGACTGGTGGTGACAACGGAAGAAGACACTGCTTGCAAGCTGTCAGTCACAAAAGAGCTCGCAAAATGCACAAGAAATTACACAATGATGTTGTGGCCCACATGTTGTTTGTTGTTGCTTTTGCTTTGTTTCATGGACTCAGTAACTCCTCTTCACCTTTCGAAGATGGGCCCTTGCGGGGTTATCAGTTGGTGAAAGTCAAGGCGGGCCAGACTGTGCAACAACTGTGGTCGACCGTCAACCACGTCGTTGATGGGGATATGGGGTGCGTACCCGCGACTGGTCGTCTTATGGAGATGGTCAGTCCCCAAACTCACGTTACATAATTGCCACGGTTCATTGACAGCGCACATCTTGTATATAGTAGGTAGCGTACATAGCTTCAAGCTCACACGTTCCCCGGACGACGGACTGGAGGTGAAAACGGACACGGTCCGACAAGCCGCTTTGTGTTCAATGCTGCCGCATTCACTCAAGTCTGGGGACACGGAAACACCGCTCGCCAGGCCCAGGGCTACAAAAAGAAGTTTTCCATTATATCGAAGACCGAAATAGTCGGTGAAACCTCACCTTATGCTCACCCATTTGGTTACAAATGGCCCGTTTCAGACACCGGGTCCCATTACTCCTCAGCTACCTACATAGTTGTTACCACCACACGTGTACTGTACCTGCGTCGAATCGGCTGTCCGTGGTCGAACGGTGCCTGAACATCGCCCTCCCTCACTCAAAACCGCAAAGAGGAATTTCGGAGTCGGCCGATGACTGTGCAGGGCCTCAGCGATGGAGCACGCCGAGAAATCCTCCGCGAAAACGTAAGGGAAACATGGGGCCGCCGGGGTTCGTGACCGGGGGTGACGGGGCTAGCGGGTCCAGACAGCCGGATGCAGTCTTGGAGGGCGTCGAGTCTTCCAACGACATGTCTTGGAAGACAACCCGATGCTGTACACTGCTGAGACTTGAGCTGTGAAGACATTAGGAGCTGAAGATCTTGTCGCAGGAGGGGTTACCTAGTCTTGTGCTGTCCAACGAGAGAGATGCATCGAGGCTCTTGCAGCTCTTGCGGCTCAAAATGCTCGAGTTAATGGAAAAGGTGAGACTACCTATACACGAATTGAGGCCAACATATGTACAACAAACACTTGCAGGAAACTCGGACCAGTCGTTCATCCTGGGAATCGAAGAAAAGATTCCACTTCGAAATGACGAAACGAGCGAACCCACAAAGTCGTCACGAATCGAAACGCACGATCGAGATCGAAAATCGCAAAACTCTTCAAACCAGATGACCACCGTCTCCCTGCTCGTCTCCCTACTCCCACTGCTACGGTGCTCCAACGACCGGTCTCACCGCGACCCTCACCGTCGACAAAAGTTCAGGAAACGGCACCACACGAAGGTACACAAGTGGAACCCTGAATGTAGGTGGGTCTCTTTTGGTGGATCGAGTTAGGCTTTTCAAACAATTTTTTAGTGCACGTTATTTTCAGGCCCCACGCCGCTTTGATGTGTGGACTGCGCGCTCCCTGCCAGGAACGAGTGCACGGGCTGAGGGGTCCTTGTCCGGTTGACAGCTTGGTAGGGCGCGGTAGGGCAGAGTCAAACAACCCTTTTTTTTTTTTTTTTTTTTTTTTTCCTCCAAAGGACCTTCACGAATCAGGAAACCAGAGCAGGGAAAAGAACAAATTTCTTTCAGGGGGCTTCCTCGCCGCTCGGCGAGCGAGGTCCTTGTGTTTCTTTTTTTTTTGTTAGTGCAGCAAAAAGGGAAAAAGAATGCGGTTGACAACTCAAGCCGAGGGTAACCGAAGAAATCTCGAAACAGTCCATGTGATTCGGCTCAAGCAAACACCCGCAATTTTGGAATTTCAACGACATCCGATGTCCCTCGAGTAATGATGATGGATCCCAGCTCAAATGACATGGCAACAGGGCAAGAAAAGGGGCTAACAAAACAAAGGACCCATCCTCCACCAAGCGAAGAGGTCTGGATGCGACGCTAACTGCTCACTTGTTGTCAGATATTTTGTCAAGCTGTCGGCGTCGAGCCGCGCAAGCAAGCTGCTAGTACGTAAACGCAAAAGCCGCAGAGCCGCAGGACCGCGACGACCGTCGAACCAAACACCGCAACTTCATGACGACTGCAAGGTACATACCGTACGCTGTCGACACGCACATGAGAACCACCAGCATGAGACACGCCTGCAGCCGAGCTCGTGTCCTGATTCGTAGCTTACGAGGAGGACCTTGACGGCATACTGGAAACTTGCGATCAAGTCTTGTTTCCGTCCTTGGACCGAAGGTCATCACGACCCCAACGTTACACCGCGCGGACAAGTCTTCCAGAACATGTTTCTTTCAGCCACCCGACGGCAACCGACGTCCCCATGTCCGCCAACGGCAACCAACCAGCCACGCACGCGGCTCATGCCACCAACGACGGCCGCCATGCAGGACACCCAAATTCTTGCC